ACCTGCAGCACGGTGACTGCACCGTTGCTTTAAGGCTCCGGATGACAGAATCAAAGGGACATTTCTCCATGGAGTGCGTCCACAGCAGTACAAGAATTACATTTCCAGTAGACAGAGGACAGTGAAAGATTGCACCAATTAACACCCGCATAGCACCTCGGGGTTCCAGCTGATGCATTTGGAGAATGCGAGCAGGCCAGAACATTTGTGGAAACTCTCTGGAGGAAACGAGGACCATTTGGCCCCCATCCTGGATGAAGGGCTGGGCAACTTATCAAACTCCTGCTTCTGGCACCTTCGTATCGTATTTGCATACCCCATGGGACTCAGCGGCAAATGTGCAGAGTCGCCACCTCACGTCTGCCTCAGTTAGGTGACCCTCTTGGGTCCCTCCTTTGCCGGTTGCAACTGAAACTGGAGCCTCATGCTACAGAGAAGGGGAGAAGGTGGGGGACACTGACATACTGCCTCTCAGGAGGCCTGGAATGACTGTACTAATGAGTGGTGAGGAGAAAGGGCTCCTTAAACATTGTAACGCAGGCTTCACAAGGGCACGAAGTGTCCACGTGCACAGGAGCCCGGAGAGCTCTCTCCACGAGAGGGGTCACCTCTTCTTGGGTGAACTTCCATCTCTTTCATCACCATTTGCCTCTGTCCTGTGTGATGACTAACACATCAGGAGTGCTTCCTGGGCCTGGCACCTTATTTGCTAATCTCATTTCTCTCTCCTAAGATGGGGATCCTTACCTTACGGAGCAGGAGACCAAGGCCAGTTGGTTGGGGAACTTGCCTGAGGTTTCACAGCTAACAAGGTGGTAGAGCGAGATTCGAACCCCGGCAGTCTCTTAGCATGTGCTCTTGGCCTCTAGGCTCTGCCACACATAGTGATCTTTTTACAGAGTTGTGATGAACCAGTACGCCCTGTCCTGGGGCAGAGGCTGGAGGGGACCCTCAAATTTTGACTGCCGTCTGGACTTCGAGAACCACCACACGACTGCTCCCACCCTCCACACAGCACCTGATTTTGCTTTATTCTTCCCGTCCAGGTCCGCCCTTTGTACCTCCAGCTCGCACTTGCTCTCCTCTAAACCATCCTTTAGGGTCCAGTGGGCATCAGCTCCTCCAGGAAGCTGTCTTGACTCCCCAGCCTTCACAGATTTCCCTCCAGGAAATCCCCTTGGCAATCTCTGGGCTCCTTGGCTGCAGCTGAGAATCATTTCCTGTTTTTACGTGAGTGTAACTGATGCCCTGGTTAGTCTCCGGAGACGACCTGACGCATCCCCGTGTTTCTCCCAACGTGAACATTCGGCTGGTGCTCAGTAACTGTGGGTCTGATTAGCTGATCTTTACAGAGACGGGCAAGAGACCAGGCCAGGACGGAAGAGGCGGAAATGAGGTCCACAGCCTTTGGCTTTTCTCCAGCTTACCTTTTCCTCCACTGCTGCGCTTTCCCCATGACCTGCCCGAGAGAGAGAAGGGGAACTCAGCCACAGCTGGGTGAACGGTGGGAAAGGGCCGTTTGGGGCAGCTCCCGGATGATCTGCGCATGTGAAAGGTCAGTCACCAGCAAGAGGGGTTATTGCTCCCTCAGCCTGCAAGGCAAGGCGGACGACAACAGGCCGGATCCTGGCAGACACCCAGGCCCGGAAGCCCCAGCAGCCTGAAGGGTAAGTGAGAACAATCTTCCGCAGGCGGCCGGGCTGGTCCTTCGCAGATCACGCTGTCTTTTTGTTAAAGGAGAGAGAACTTGAAAGGAAGAAGGAAGGATGAATTGTTAAGACACGAAATCCCAAAGGAAGAGACAGGTGGAGCAGCCAACACGGGGCAGCGGGTGGGGGAGGCGGGTGGAAGTAGGGGAGGGAGGGCAGGAGACCGATGCATCGGAGGGGCCAGTCCCAGCTGGCCCGCCACTGCCGCCCGCGCACCTGCACAGATCGCTGAGTCCACGATGCTGACGCACCTGGCCCGCCTGTCTGCTGAGAGGGGAGGAGAGAGCAAGGACAGGGGGGATGAGCGGAGGAGGAGAGAAGGCGGTTCCAAGCAGCCCAGCCAGCAGCACCTCCTAGCACCTACTGCCCGCGTGCCCGGCCCCGCGCGAGGTCCTAAGGAGAAAGCCGGCCCGGGTACCCATCTTCTCCCAGGCCGGGGCGTCCGTAAGAAGTCCAGAATGAGATTAAAGGATCACTTGGTAACATTAATTTTTTTTTATTAAGAAGACAGATATTTTATAGTACTTCTTTTTTTTTCTTTTTTTTTTTGTAAAAATGGTATACATGAACCGTTCAATACAAAATGGGAATGGGAACACATGGATATGGAGTCTCTTACACCGTAACATCGTTCATGTACACCTTAAAAACAGAACTGGCCTAAAGGGAAAAGTCAGACGTCGGTGTGACTAAAGAACAAGCTTATTTGGCATCAATTATACATCCTTCATCATTTTATATTCCTTTAAAAAACACAAAAGAAAACAAGTTTGTTCTTTCTTCACTCTAAAAAAAGTGTTCAACCTGTACAAAGTAATACTCAACAATACATTTCAAACAGTGCACTGTATACTTAAGAAAAAATACATAAACCAATATACAACTAAAATCCATAATTTCCTGTTTTTGCTTTGTTTTTATTATTATTATTATTATTATTATTATTATTTTTTCCAATGTGTGGGGCCTACACTTTGCAATCTACCTGAGACGGAAAACACCAGTCAAAACACATGAACCTGAGACATGTCGACATTGTAAGCCATAGAGTCACGCCAGAAGCACTGCACTACTGTACACTTTTCAAACGGAAAGATGGGAGGTCCCCGAATGAGATGCCAATTCTGTGAGTCATGGTAGGTTTTTTTCCTTTTTTGTTTTTGTTTTTTTGTTTTTTTGTTTTTTGTTTTTTTTTTCCAAAAAGAACTGAAAAAACCCTTTCAACAACATGCTAAATGGTTCTCACCCTTTGATATGATTATACTATGGTCAGAATGGGCGCTAAGGGCTCGGAATAGAGCTGCATGTTATAAAATACATTGAAAAAGGGATGTTCGTTGTGGCTTTTTGTCTTGGTTAAGTGCCTGGGGATGGGAGAGGGGAAAACAAAATGCTGCTCGATATGGATTTTCTTTTATATACCAGTCCGTTCCCAAAAGGCCCCCGTATTGCAATGGTTCTATCAAAGGTTAAAATAAAGACAAGAAAAATAAACACGCTTTCAAATAACAAAGAGTTGACACTTTTTTTCCTCTTTAAATAAATCAGCGTCAGTTTTTTCCACATAATGTAACAAGAGTAAAAATGCACCTTGCAAACTCCAAAATTACTCACTGAAAATGTTATATAATATATATTTATATATATATATATAGATCTATCTTTTCTTTTGATGCCGTCTTTCCGTAGCGACTGGGTTCTGGAGTCTGAAGCCTTACCAAAACATATGGTAAGGGTTTCATTTTTGTCCTTCAGGACTACTAAATTTCCTAGACGTTTCAGTGAAAATCCCCACAGTTCTTTAAAAAAAAAAACCAACAACCTGTAAATGCTAACTTGACTCCTCTTTTTCCCAAGGCTCCCCATCTAAGACAGGTTCAAGGAGACTTATTTTAGTAGCGGTGCACTATGGCTGTCATCATGCGAGGGCCAGGAATTTTTTGGCAGGTGGGTCTTAAGGCTGAGGAAAGAGGCCAAGGCTAGTGTATGAAAGGTAAAAAGATAAAAACACTCACATTTGAGTTTTGATTAAGTAACTGAAAAAAATCCCTACATGCTGTTTTTCCACCTCGGCTCTGACCTTTCGAGAACTGAGCTCGACAGCAGACCAGTGTGAGAACAATACGGGCCCTTCTTTTGTACCTCCTGCCTTTGTCCGGCCAAATCGGAAGGAATGAAAGTTTCACACGGATTTGAGTTGGAAATCCCAGCATGACAAATACCTGTAATATACAGTACATGCAGGCCACATCCTACTGCCTTGCTAACCAAGCACAAAGGAAAAAAGAAAAAAAAAAACCAAAAACAAAAAAAACCCAAAAAACCCCTGTCCCATCCAGTCATTCGCACACCACACGGACTTGCTTTTTCCTACAAATTAGTGAGAAGTAAGGCCGATTGGGAAAGGTGGATGGAATTGTTTGGAACAGAAATAACCAGAGCAGACCGATCTTCCCCCCTCCCTACTTCCCCTCCTGGGGCAACTCAAATTTGTCCACTTATATAAAAGGGAAAGACCTCACCTGTCAGGTCTGTTTAGGGCACTGAAAAAGGAGGAGCCCTTTCTGCCCCAAACCTTTCTGGACAGCGTGGGGTATCTCTACTGAGCCGTCTACAGACACAGAATTAAAGACAGATTCAATCTCATTGTGACACACCTCACTTGCAGATAACCCTGTAATGTAGTTCCACAGCGAACAGAACAGTTTCGAATCACAGTCTAAGTTTCTAGTCTTCGCTGCTCTAAGTATTTGAAAAACGGGCAGCAGCAAAGAGTTCTCATTGTTTGTTCACCCAAATCTTTACGACAACAGAGAAGAATGCATTATGGATACACTAAGTTCTGAACTATGAAATCTAACCTGTGCTGGTTCTCCTTTTATGAAACTGAATTTTGAACAGAAAGCAGTTACTTCAAAAAAAAAAATCAACAAAACGAAAGGAACAACAGTAACAAAATCAGGGGAGGGGAAAGGATCTAAGGAATCCCAGCAGGCAAATTCCAAAATGGGAGATTTTGGACCAAATCCAAAATTTTTGGGGGGAAAAAATAAATCTGCACAAAGGAAGGAAGAAAAAAAAAGGGAACTCAACCAACCAACAAAATAACAAGGCACAGAATTTTCTGCAGTCTATCCAAACTAAATCCAAGCATCCAAGTTTGACTTGGTAGGAAGAAATAAAACTTAAAAAAAAAAACCAACCAACCAACCAAACAAACAAAAAAGAGGTGTCAAACAGCAGAATGTACTTTTCAAAGAAACAAAAAAAGAGGTGTCAAACAGCAGAATGTACTTTTCAAAGAACATTTCTTTTCTTTTTTTTTTTACACAGCAAATCCCAAGCCTTCTCAGTCTCGCACCTTTCCACCCATTCATAAAAGATCACACGAATTTCTCGCAAGTTCCAATATCACTGTCTCTTTATCATCTAAATAGGGCCAGTTGGACACCTCATGGAAACAAAAAGGCTGCTTAGATGAAGTACTCTTTCTTTTCTTCCGAGTTGTTCTGTCCTCCTTCTGCATTGATTATAGCTGTGTCTGCGTCTGCTGCGTCATCGGCTCCTTTGGCTTCATGAGTGAAGTATGTACCTGAAAGATGAAGGGGTAAAGCACCGTGACTGTCTGATGGCCTCTGTGCAAAGTGGTACAGAGATGGCAACGTGCTTTATGGCCATCATCAGCCGAAGTGGTGTGCAGGCAGCAGAGGGGAAAAAACAATTGGAAGAAGAGAGCGAGGTGGGTGAGACACATGGGGATCCGGGGGTTCCAAAGGCACCACTCCAACTGAACCGCTGCGATATAATTCAGCAAATGAGACATTAGAGCAGTGATTATGACCAGAGGATGTCAGCAGCAGAAGACGTGAGTGGGAGCTAAAAATGCAGAAAGCTGGAGAGCTGCTGACTAGCGTGTTAGCGGTAACCGCCCAGGACCAATGGCCACATATGTGCACATACATGGTTACAGACCAAAGCAAGGAAGAGCAATTAGCCAAGACATGAATTAGGGCCCTGCTGCCGTTCTGGGGTCATCTCAGATCATTTAGTGGAATCCTCGTCTCCTGGCTTCAGGAAGCAACTGTTGCCGATCTGTGAGGGAGGATGTGCTTGAACTTGCCCAGGTAGGTTTGATTTTCCTTCTGCCTTCCACCTCGGGCTGGGGGTTCCAGATCGAGAAATAATTGGATCTTATAACAGCTGTAACTGAGGCGTGGGATCTGCCTTCAGGAACAAGTGATTCTCGCTCCTAAGGGAACTCGAGCCCGGACCCAGATTCATGGATTTGCTAATTGGCACAGCCACATTATAATGACAGTAGACAGAACGTTACAGAGTTGGTGACACTCTTATCAGCAAGTCCCAACGGGTCACATGGAGAAAGATAAGGATTGCGCCTCGGTATGAAATATAGGTGGAGCGTACATTGCCCGTCATAATCCAATAACCCTCTTCCTCTTATGTACTGTGTTCTCAAAGATGCTTAAGTAAAAAAAGGCCGGTGGATTTGCTGCGTTTTTCAAGTTTTCAAAGTGACAAATCTGAGAAGGCAGGCAGTCAAATGTCCCCCTGGCCACGTCCCTCTTCCCCTGGTTTCCCACAGCTGCTGTGCGGACGCCGGCCCTGCTCTCTGGCCTGACCTTCCTGGCTCCATCAAGAGGCTGGGAGATCTCGGCCAGACAGGCTGCCTCCTGGGCGGGGCAGAGGGGACCCACAGGCTGAGGGCCCCAAACCCATTGACACTCGAGACGGGCATTTTGGCTTCTCAAGGCGACGGTCAAATCCCTTGGGCCTCCACTGCTGTGCTCACAGGACCCTCCCCAAACCCAAGCTCTACAATCAGGCAGTCTGCCAGCGCCCAGAGTTCACACTACAGCAAAGGCCCGGGAGCTCCCTGCACAGCGCTTGGGAAAAATAACCGAGACAGACAAGGGCCTCCAAAGAAAAGGAAGAATAAATTACCAAGAGGGTAGAAGAGGCTCAGAGCAGCAGGGGGCGGAGAGGAGGAGCGTGGGCAAAGATGATTGCCCATCCAGACTGCACGTTTGGTAAGTGTGATGATTAATGGCAATTTAAATCAATTGCACCGATAATTTTAAAAATACATATTTATGTGGCTTTTAAGGCACATCAAACCAAGGAAGTATTCCAGCCACTGTAACCAGCTTACCCAGAGTTGGGGACCAGGGAGCAGAGCCAGTCCACCTGCTTCCCACAAAGCAGTAGATTACGGGTGTGGCCCCCCCGTTTCTTGTTTGGGGGTTCACGCCACACCTCACACACCAGCCCCTATTTTGTAATTTTCTCTGTCCCCAGTGGTGGATTGTAGGATAGCAAACCTAAAAAGCTTTATATTTAGAGAAAAATCCAAATCAAGGCGTGTTGCTCATCAGCCCTCGGAGTCTTAATCAGCAGCTGCTAAGATTTCTGGGGGGTTTTTTTTTGTTGGTTTTTTTTTTCCCTCTCCCAGTTTCAGGAATCAAATAGGTTATGTGACCACAGAAACCAAACTGCTTATCAAGGACAACCTTGCAAAGTCCCCAGAAGGCAGGGGGTGTGGTGACACCAGGCCTCCTGCCCGCCCAAGTGCCTGGCTTACCTTTATGTCTGGCAAAATAGCGGCCCAGGATAATGAGCAGGCACAGCATGGCGAAGACCACCACGGCCACGACGCCGCCGATCACGGCGTGATCCACCGCCCTGATCGAGCCTTCTTCACCTGCTCGAGAATCTGTTGAAATCAGAAGAGGAATAGGGATGTAGAGCTCATTACCAGACACCAGAAGCCCTGGCGACACTGCCTCCAGGCTCAGAGGCCACCGTCTTTTTTAATGGAGGAGTCAGAGCGGACAATCGGGAGGGATCAAGTCTCACCGAGGGAACAGGCCGCCCTGTCCAGTGCTGAACGTATCTGTTCTCCCCTCAAGGCTATTTCATTCTGAGCGGCATCAGATACTAGCGTAGAGGGGACAAATTTAGGGAGCCCTGAGGGAAGAAACAGAGTCTGTCCAGTCCTGACCTGGCCTTGGCGTTCTCTCTGTCTGAATCCAGCTGCAGATCCTAGCAAGGAGGCCGACCAAAGCATGTAAGGGTGCGCATAATGGCCCCTTCAGGCAGTCACGGGAGCTGTGGAGGGCAGGCTGGAGCATCTTTCTAGAGACGCCCAGTGACCCATTCCCTGCCAGGCACCTGCGTGGGAGAAGCAAGGAGCTCAAAAGCCACAGCTGCCTAGAGATAAAACAAGGACTAGAAGACTGGAGACAAGTGACATGCCCGCTACATTTAGGATGTACGAGGGAGTTAGCCTCCGTCTACAAGCTGAAAACCTATTTCAAAAGAGACAGCAAGGAATAATTGTCCATTGCCACTGACGGCTTTCATTTTATTTATTTAACACTTCACGATGCAATTAATTTTCCTTTATAAGCAGCACTCCCTCAGGATGTCTTCTTTCGACTGAGGAACGACACATTTGGCGGGGGAACAACTCCAGAATGAACCCGGGATGAGCTATGGCCATGCAGAATGGATGTGTGGCAGTGTAAACAATTTTAATTTAGGAATGTGGCTACATCACCCCTTGCTGAAATCCTAATGGCAACCGAGATTTATAATGTGTAAAAAACAATTATTCTCCCGTTGATTAATACATTAACATTTTGGAGTGGAAGCTAAACCATTGTCTTTTTTTTTTCATTGAGTCAAGTGCGACACCTCCATTAAAATGATTTACTAGCTGTACCTTACAATTTAAGCACAGCAGCAACAGAAACGGTAAAAATCTTTTAACTTTACATGATTTGTGAAGTCATATGTGAAGGATTTACCATTTAAATCTTTCAGTACAAGAAGCACAAGGCCTATAAATCTGCCCCCATAGCAGTTGCTGGACGCCTAAGAGAAATGCATTTCACCAGGAAGACAGAGAGTGCAAATTCGAGTCAATTTTTAAGAAAGATTTATCTCTGTCTCTCTCCAAAGAACAGAGCAAATCTCTGAAGCCTCCACCTCTAATAATATTTGAAGTTTATCGATCAAGTGTACGGATCCGTGACAGCTAAAGGTAATGGTGCTCTTTTGAGCCGAAACCTGATACAACGCTTTCAGCAGGAGGGCATGAATTACACTTTCTATCGATATTTCCAATTCTGCTCCGAGATTAAGTACTGAAGGATGTGGGAAATAACTCGTGACTGAGGGGTCCGTGAAAAGTGCTTTAATTAAAAGAGCTTAAATTAAAAAATGAAGTATTTAAAGTGTTTCATTAAGTTACCTTTGAAAGGATGACCAAAAAAAAAAAAAATCCCCAATCCAGACCCAAACAGAAGTGCCAAATCAGAGGCAGCAGCGGGTCGCCCAGGACAACCGGGTGATGGGAGTTTAATTGGAGAATGGAGATGGGTTGGAGGCAGAGTGCACTGCAGCCAATTAGCCCGCTCCGTGATGCGCCGGCCCCTCCAGCCACACGTCTAATAAGCTCGACTTGAAACGAGGCAGAGAGGAATCTCCCTCCGCAGCCCCAAGAGCCGCCTGCCACACATGTGGCAGCCTCCGTGTCCTGAAAGTCGTTTCAACCAGGCAGGACTCAGCTACAGAAAGTTTTCAGAGCCAACAGGACGTGGACTTGTTAACGGGGTGCACTCCCGTGGGGGTGCCCCTGGACCTGCTGGGGGACGGTGCTTGACACCCAGGAGACTCTCATCCTGACTGCACGAATTCAGAATTGCTGGTGGCGGGGACCAAAGTGATGGAAAAGCCAGAAAGCTGTGCCTTCCCGAGGGAGCTGTCAAAATAGGGGCTCTTGCAGGAATGAGGATTAACTGATCTCTGATGGCCGTGGGCTTCAGACCCAGTGAGAGATAAGGGTCTTGCAACTAACTCCCTAGGTCTTAGAACTGGGTGAGAAAAACAAAGTGATGCCAGCTACTGAGGAGCGGGGAAGGTTAGGTACAAAAAGCGAGAGGTGGAGAGAGGCCCCAACCCGGGAAGACCGAGCAGACAGAAACTGTCCCACTACACTTAACCCACTCGGGAACACACCCTCGTGTCCACTGTTACAGGACTGCCTCCTCCATGCCTAGGCACAAGAACATTCTAGAAGCCTAGGGGGAGAGTGAGGGGGAGAGAGAGAGAGAGAGAGACAGGAAAGGAGAGGAGGAGGGAGGAGGGGGAAGCTCTGTGATAAAGAAAAAAACCACCAACCAACCTCACAAGGTCTGTATCTATGGGGTTAATTTCTCCAACCAAAGCTGTTTGTTTGACCTTTGCACCCCATCAACTCTGAGCTGAAGGTGCTCAGTGTGGCTCTTCCCTCCCTGCCCTCCACCCACCTTAAATACCTGGGTTCTCGCTGTCTTCCCCACCGTCAAGGACGTACATGTTTTACAGATACTTTTAAGGGTGATCTGTCCGACTATCTTCTGATACCCACTCTGATCAGAAAGTTTACTACCATCAGTTAATCAACAAGACATCTTCCCTGCCTTCAATGACTGCAGACGGACATATGGGAAGTGATGTTGAATTTACCAGGAACACTGTGGGTTGCAGCTCCTCCCCGCCCCAGGCTTCACAACTGATAGTTGTGGCCACCTCTGGCTCGGTCTCATCTCATTCTTTTTTTTTGTGTCCTCATGTGGGGTGGAAGGGGAGGGTTTTCTTGATTTATAATACTTTAATTAAACTGTCATTAATTTATAATGCTGTGTTAGTTTCTGGCATATAGCATAGGGATTCAGATATAAATATATATACATATTCTTTTTCATTATATGTTATTACAAGATATTAAATAGTTCCCAGTTTGTATCTGCTAATCCCAAACTCCTAATTTATCCCTCCCTGCTTTTTCCCCTTTGGTCACCATAAGTGTGTTTTCTATGTTTATGAGTCTCTGTTTTGTAAATAAGTTCATCTGTGTAATTTTTTAAGTTTCCACATATTATATTTGTCTTTCTCTGTCTGACTTACTTCACTCAGTATGATAATCTCTAAGACCATTCATGTTGCTGCAAATGGCATGATTTCATCCTTTTTTATGGCTGAGTAATATTCCATTTTATATATACATATATATGTATATGTGTGTGTGTGTATACCATATATATATATACACAAACATATACACACACACACACATATATATACCACGTCTTCTTATCCAATCACCTGTCGATGACATTTAGGCTGCTTGC